ATGTTTTCAAAGAGTTGAAACTGGGGCAGAGCTTCTCCTTCCAGCAGGTCAGCGACTCTAAACATGCAGCCAGAGCCAAATCAAAGCTTTTGGGTGTGTAATTATTTTCTCCAATCTGACTCATCTTGAGTCATTTTGCAGGGAAGGATGGCAAAAACTTTTGATTCTCCATATTATGGATTATTTATACTGTTTCTCATATTTAGTTATACCTCTGCCTTATTGCATTCGTTACAACTTTCCAAATATAATCCAAAGACTTGTCTCTGACTAAGCTTGAGCTGTTTTGTAGAGTAATTGGCAGTTTTTCCTGCCGATTACTATATACCTCAAAAGTCCTGCACATCTAACTGCAGCGAAGGTGGTTGTGCAAAGCATTGACTCAGACGGGCTAAATGCAAATATATACCACCATTTATATTTTTATTCCTTACACAAAAAAAGCAACACTGTCTTTTTCTTTCCTCTTCTCAATTATGTCACATCGAGGTTGGAGACTCTAGCATGATAAAATATGGAAAGGTTCAAGAGTTGCGAACAATTTTGCAAAGCGCTCCATATGATGCTAGTCATAAAATCCGCTAAGTCTGCTAGAAAACAAAAGAAAAACAAGAAGCAAACATAAATAGTTGTTTTTTTTAAGGATGCATCGATGTAGTTAAAATGTTCTGCAGAGTTTCTTTTCATTTCCCCACCTGTTGTAATGTTATGTTCAGTCATGTAGAACTTTTCTCTCACCAGTTGCATGCCAGACCCCCCACATTGTAAATGTTCGCAAAGGGAAAAAAGATTCAGCTCTTTCAGGGAGCGGCCATGAAGGCAGAGGAAATCACTCTAAACGGTCTTAATTCTGCCATTAGACGAGAGCGAGCGCTGTGGGGATTGGCTGGCCCTGTGCTCCATATTCACAGAAGCAGGATGAGGCTGAGAAGCCCGCTGAGAAAATGGTGTCGTAATCAGAAGCCGGCAGTTCTGCCTGATCAGGTACACTAGCCCCTCTTCTCGTTTCCTCACTCCCCTCTTCCTCCTCCTCTTCTTCTTCTTCCTCTTCGTCCTCACCCCCAAGCCCCTGTAATTTTTTCCTCCCTGAGCCTTGCCCCGTGAGGAGATCCTAATAAGAGTTTGGATGCGCTGTGCTCTTCTTATGTGAAGGCCTGGCAGGAGGGAACGGAGATGAGGCCTTAAAGTTGCAGGGAGGTGGTATGTGTTTAATCTGGAGGTATATGGAGCTGTGATGGTGGGATGATGGGGGCTTGTTTTTTTGTTCCCACATTTGATTATTCAGGTTGGCTGAACTACATTCTAAACCCATAAAATTTGTATCCCCTCTGGGGAACCATTTGCATATATTTCAGTGCCCCCTCCCTCACATCCCAATTCCCCCCTTTTATTTCTCAGAAAGTGAAAGAGAGGGTGAAGCAACCAGGCCTGTCTAGGCTTTAAGATGTCACCGTGGTGTGAAATATGGGCGAACAAGCAGGGTCTTTGAAACCCAAACTAACCCCCCACCTGCCTCTAAGCTTCTGGCACACACACACACACACACGCACGCATGCACACATGCATACACACACACACACACACGCACACACAACTAGTTGCTTCCTTATACTGGATTTAAATTTTAAGTCTGTGCAAAGTCATACAAGATCTGCAGCTTCAGTCGCAGAACATTACTGAAGGGCATTTCTCCTTCAATCACTCCAGATATGTAGAGGCTTCCCTTTATCAGGTTTTGTACATGCATCTGTTTGCAAAATACTTTATTCCATTACATGTCAAAATAAAAGGAGTCATTATAAAGGCAGGGCAAACTGCTGCAGGCCAGGAAAAGTACCTAATCTCTGGTAAACAAAGCAGCAATGCCTGGCTCTGTAAGTATGCCAGATTCACTCTTACCGTTGACGATGTAGGGGGGATTATTTCTCAGACAAAAATGATCTGAAGCCAGGTCTTAAAATTCCTCTTAGGATGTGTGCCCAGCAGCAGCGAAAAGAAGGGAACACACATGTAGCTGCTCGGGCAGGAAAAGCGAGCCAATGAATTGCCAGTCAGCCATAAGAGACACCTGTTCGTTTGTCTGGCTGGTGAGGTCGAGGTTTTTGTTTTTCGCCGTGCCAACAGGCCCACTGGCTCTACTTTTACTGCCCATCTGTACGGATGGGTGAAGTTGGACACCGGTCTTTGAAAGAGGCGTAGAGCAGGGGGCGGTGGTTGGTACTTGATGGCATTTTGGTCACATGGGGTGAGTTGCTGTCATCCTTTAACCTTCCCCCCTGGACCCCTCTTCCTCTCCCTCCCGTGCCCACTCCCTAGTGCACAGGCAGAATGCAGTGTCAGGAGGGTGAGCACTGAGCGCCCATTGTGTGTGCTAACCAAAGCGGAATGCCCGGGTGACAAAAGGGGGAGGAGTGGGCTCAAGGCACACAAAGCCAGGGGGAGGAGAGGGGAGGAGGAGAGGGAGAGGGGGGTGGAAGAAGAGAGGGGGCAATCTGCTGGGGGCTAAATAGACCCACTCTGCCCCCAAAACTCGAGGCACCCTAAAAATCTTCCCTCACCTCCCCCGTTGCCTCCATTAGCTCCTGGGTGTACAGTACACACTCTTACTGATAGCAGCTCTTATATTCCCAGTAGCGTGGAAAAGAAAAGGAGAACCGACAACAACGAAACCTTCAAACTATTAAGTGTTGGGTTAGGTGTTATGAGTCATGCCCTGAAGAACCAAAACAGGATCCATTTGGAAACCGTAGTCATGGTTTCCAGGCCCTCGTTAGTCAGGGTTGTCCTGAAATGTGTCACTGCCAGGATTGTGTGATGTGTCCTGAAAAACACTGCAAACTTTTCCCTTTAAACAGGCAAATCTCTCCTCAGTGATGTCCAGCATTCGTTTGGCACGGATCCCTTCACGGTTACATGACCCGGACCATCCATGTGGCTTTGTGTCTATGTTTTTAGCGTGTCAGCATGACAGAGCAGGGGGCACACGCGTGTGCTTGTACTCGCCTGTCTATTCCAGAAGCTGGGAGCAGTCTCGCCTGTGTACTATCGCACGTCACTGTGAGGCTCTCAGCTCCCATAAACAACCTGGGGCAACAGGGCAGTCACCTTAAAATGAGGGAAACTAAGCTTGAATTAACTATTAATTCCACTGCAAGTAGAAGCACATCTAATCTGATGATTTGCTGCTGCAGTGCTTTTACTGCCAGTATGATTAACTTAAATGTGTATTACTGTGTTCCTAACTCTTTAAACTATCTCACAAACTCACCTTTTCACCCCCCCCAGTTTATGAAAGGATTTATCTTCAGTCTCTCTACACCGGTCAGGCTTCATATGTTCTTTTGACGTTCTTTAGGGTTGAGATTCAATACAGTTTAATCAAATTCAAAAATACTTAATCGCAAAGGAAAATGCTGCTGTTGTAACTTTTTTCATCCAAGAGTTCAAAGAATTTTAGAGCCTGTTGCAGTAACAAAGTTTGCTGGATGATAAATTGTCCCCAAAATTATTGCGTTAAATAATAATATTGTTTTTTTAGAGATCATTTTCAACTAATATATTGGTAATGGCACATGAATGCATGTTAATTTACTTTAATTTTGTGACAAACACACAACTCTTGAGTGGAAGATATTTTAAATATCCAAAATAAAACACAGCAACCAAAAACAATAAGTGAAATGGGACTTAAAACCACACAACCGATTATGGACCACAATGATGTCTCTTTAAACAGTAATCATCAGAATGGAAATTATTAAGCTTATCTTGATTTATAATACTTATTTATTTATACAGCCACAATGCACAGCATTTTTTAACCATTTAAAAGAAGAGATGCCTGTTACCAGGTTATAGCAAAAATGCTAATTTTCACCTGCAGTCCCTGGACAGGTTGACATAATTAAATATGACTTAACAGGTTGTGGCATGGTGAAAAGCCAGCTTAGTAATTACAAAAGTATTACATAAATGTTTACGTTATTATTCAGATCTCACTAAAAACAATTTCTTCATCTTCATTAATAAAGACTGCAAGCCTGCTTGTTAAACAGTCATAGTTTTGCCAAATAAACGTTTCATAATCAAATTTGACAAATTATTCCAATGACTTGTCATGTGATTATTTGCTTATTGTGACAGGCTGATGCTGGTGATGCTGGGCTAGAAGGATCTCCTGTAGCAGTCAGTGTCACAGTGAGATAAAGAAGCCTCTGACTGAAGACACTCTATTGTTGTATTCCAGTCTGATAAAGTGGATGCACAGGGTTGTCTGTGATGTTTTTAATTTTATAAAGAATCCTGATGCTCAGTTCATAAATCTAGAAGTTTGTTTCATCCTCACTAAGAACCAAGAACCCGGGCTGGAGATGCTCAGTTCATCCCCACCGAAATGATTAACATCAACTTCAAATTCTATATTCATCCCTACTAATAATGGCTCAGACTGGAGAAGCTTGGTTCATTTGTACACACCACCATTGAGACTCTTTGCCATTAGAACCACTGAACCAAGAATGACCAGACGATGAGAAAATAACTTGTTATTCCCTTCAAATAACAATGTGAAGTCTAATCAGAGTACTTTATTATTTGCTTTCATGCCACTTTATTCATTTTTTTCTTTCATGTGCCCTAAACACAGCTAATGGGGAGCAAGAACAATAAAGGATGATCAGATGGTCCTTTACATTTTGTTAAAGTTTTTTGTTTCTGTGGCACAAAGACGTATAAATCACTCTTAGTAAAGTCTCCTCCACTCTGCCTCCCTTCACTCATGCAGAGATCAGCCTTCCCCTGATGCATTTACATGCATTGCTGCAGGGCAAAGATAGTTTCCCGTTTTATCTGCGCTGAGTTTATGGGAAGTAGCTTGGTGAATTGTTTTGATTTACTTGTTGTGCGAAGGGTCAAATGTCAGCCTGAGGGCAGGCTTTGAAGACCAAGTGAACTAGGCAAGGATCCACATTTTTGACTAATACAACTTTTTTTTTTTTTAGGTTTGCCGACGTTGTTGGTGAATATGCCCCCATTTGTGATTTAAAGTCATGCATTTATGCACATCAGTGCATCAGGTGAGTTGAAGCTGTCTGTGCTGGTGCAGTTAGAATCTCTCCATCAGCGCTGACCCAGGCAGCCATCATCGTTCTCGAGCTGTAATTCACCCCACTGCAATCAGGGTCCTGATCTGGGCTTCTGTGAGACCTCTCCACTCCAGATGATTCTTCTCCTGATTGGCCTAACTGGACTCCTGTCTGTGGCGGCAGATTAGCATGAATTGTTTTTTCTTATGTGGCACACAGATTGGGCCTTGTTAGCATTCACACCTCCACATCCAAAGCTCCTGGGAGGCTCAAAAATGCAGAGGAAAACTAGACTTGGTGGATGATTTTTACTTTCAGAGAAGCATAGGAACTGCAAATATTAACTTTTGTAACACAGATTTTTTATTGTCTGATAATGGATATTACAAAAAAAACAAAAAAAAACAAAACACTTTTCCATTTGAAAGAAGAGCATGTGAGACTCGTCAGTCCAGTTCTGTGTAGATTTGCTTTCAAATGTATTTTTAGGTATTTTTCTTTTTTTGTCCAGTCCAACAACCTAGGGACAGAGCCTGCACTTAGGACATTGCATCTCTAGTGAAGATGTGTAAAAAGCCTTATAGTTGTTTTATCTTTTTATGCTGTAGTCTGATCTCACACTAAAAACAAGAAAAATGCAACCTTGAAATTATGGAGGAATATAAAATTAAAAGAATGAAGTCGTGTGAGAATAAAGTTGTTATATCACGAGAATAAAGTCGTATGAGGATGGTGTCTAAAATCATAATATTACAACTTTATTCTTATAAAGTTATGACTTTATTCTCATATTAATACCACTTTAACCAAACCAAGTTCGGGTAGAAACTTAGGACAGAAACAGCCACTCTTGGGTAGGTAGAACTAACTTTTTTACTTACCAGGAGTGTTTTGATGTTGTTTTGTGGAGGGACAATGACAAGTGTTTTAAATTGACAGAATATTTTCAGAATTATAAATCATGTATAACTCTTCTACTGTGCAAGTCATATTATCTGTCAGCATTAATTGTATGAGATTATAAATCATTGAGGTGTTTTTGAAGTGTTTTGTGTATGTGGAGTAAGAAGAATAACTCCTGTGAAAGTAATATTTTAGAGTTTAAAATGCAAAGTAAATGCTGTAAAATTAGCTACAGTTATCACTAAAACGTCACGTTGAATCCAGAATTCAGGAATAACCTAAAAGTCCACATCAGGAAAAACTCTCTAAAATGTGTTACACTTTCATGACACATCTAGTGACTCTTCATAAGTTGTAAAGTGTTATTGCTGTAACAGAATTGTCTGTTTTTGGTTTATTGCTGAGCTGTTTTAATGCACAAACTTAAAAGTATATTATGAACACTTAGATAAAACAGTAATCCTACTCAGGTGCACATCCCTTGAATATTTCTGATAACTTCACATTATTTCTAGGTGATAATATTGCTATTTTTTCTTAATCTTTATTTATTTATTTATATATATATATATATATATATATATATATATATATATATATATATATATATATATTCTATTCTTACAAGTTATACATTGCAAAAAAACTATGTCAAACACAACATGGTGGTTATGTTAATTGGAAGAAATATTTAAAGTTATTGTTTGAAAGTTTATTGCGGCGCCAAACAGGTGACTCCAGACCACTTTTCAAAGAATGAGGAAATTCTGGGTTACTAAAATGCTTATCCTGTCATTATAAGGATATTCATCGTCCATGCGTCATCTTATCCTGATGACATCATGTGTATTTCAGGCTCTGCACCTTCAGTAATCAGAAGCATAATAAAACTAAAGTCAACTTTATTGAAGTTGACTTTATTCTCTCATTGCAGAAAGATACCAAAAGTTTTAAATTCTGCAGTTTTTTTTGAAAAACACAGTCATTTCTTAAACTTCAATTAATTTCAGGCTATTTATACAGCATTAATTTTAATCTTTTTTTGACTATTAGTCAAGTCAGGTCAAGTTTATCTGTATCCCACATTTCAGCAACAACGCACTTCAAAACGCTTTAAATGACAAAAACATAAAAATTTGTCACTAAATCACACTAAACTGTAACTTTAAACTTTAACTCATTTAATCAGTGATATCTTGGTAGCAGACTGAATGAATAAGTCTTTAGTAGATTGGTATTTTAAATGTCTGGTCTGACAGCAACATATCAAACTGGATGAAAAAGTATTTTTTATTGTTTTGTTCTTTGTTCTGAGTATAATGATGTCCCTTAGTTTAATCTTTTGATTACTTCCAGACACTTGATACAAGCCCCAAACATCTAAGACCCTTTTTTAGTCTTTTAAAACCTTTTTTAATGCAAATATAATGCCTTTGCATGTTCAGCGTTTACAGTTAGTCAAACCGAATTGCCCTCACAGAAACAGTGCTAGCACAGGTGTGTTTATTCAACAACACAAAAGGAACATCATTTGCGTAACTTTTATTTGATGCTTTTTATTCAGAGGATCGCTGGGAAGCTTGAACTTGTAACACAAGAATAGCAATTATTATAAAAAAAAGAAAAACAACTAAGAGTTTAAAAAAAATGGTCTGCTTCTAAAAAGATGCATAAATTATAAAGAAGACACTTAAACCTTCACTTTCTCATTATCCTAGCATTTAGCAAATATAGATGCATAGATTTTTTTTATTATGATTTAATATCAAACATTGAGAAGAAAAAGGCTTATATGTCGTTTATACACTGTAAATAAGTATGTGGTGTCAGCTCAACCATATTGGCTGTTGAAATGAAACTTGAACTGTATTTTTTCTGTTATTCAATGATGATTCAGGTTTCACTGAAGAAGATATGAATCAGATAAATTTCCCTCGGTGGAATTTCACAAGCAGAGGAGGAGACGGGAGGGAGGAAGGAGGAGAATGCCCTCAGGTGTACATATGTCAGATAATCCCACCGCTTGCATCTGACCAACACTGTCTTGACTAGGGCGTAATGATAATTATGATGATTTACAACTTGTTCCTCTGGCTGCGTTGGCTACATTACATTGGCTATTTATGTTTGAAAGGCCCAGAGTAAACCTTCAAGACTGTAGCGTGATAAAAGAAAGGCACCGCTCTGATTTACGCAATCGGCTCATCCTCTCGGACTTGTGCAAATCCTTGTTTGCTTGCGTTAGTGAGGCAACATGGAGTTTCTCAGGATTAAACCTTCACTCCTGTGTTTGCTGAATTCACTCATGGAGTTGATGCATTATGTATGTGTTTGCCTATAGTGTGTGTTTAGTATTGGAAGGCGGGGCAAAAGGGCTCAAAAAGTTGACGATCAAGATGGGGGTAGGAGGGTGTTTGCGTGTAGGGACCTCATCTCCTAAGAGGCCTGGACGAGCCAGAAACCCGAGCTGGTAGGACAGGGATGGAAACACGTGAGACTCTGGCACATGGTGGCTTGAGTTACCTTTCCTTGCTATGAACTTTTGGCCCTGGTGGCAAGACCTCTCCACCCATTATGACTCCGGTGTTGCTCCACCTGCCTCTCTTTTCTGAATCTTATATTAACATCATGCAGCTCACCTGCTACATGTTAATATTTCGCTGTGTTTCGCAAGTAATGAGCTCTGAATTGCTTATTTTTTCATGTTTGTGTATTTGCTGTCTGCTCAGACAAAAGACTGGCTGGGCCCCTGTGATCAAATCTCTGTCTTTGCACCAGTCTGAAGGTAAACTCCTTCCACCAGGCAGCCAGGAAAACCTGACTTTCAGGTCTCCCACCCACACTCATTGGACGGCTGTCCTCTCACCTGTGCAAATATGAAAGCGGGAGAAAGACACAGCGAGCGAGGGAGGGTGGGGGAGAGTGAAATGGAAAGATATCCCGGTCTTTGGTTGCAGGGTGGGGTGCAGAAAAGAATACAGCACAGCTGAGCAAACCTCCACCGCCATAGGACTTCACCTGTGTGCTCTCCACTTTTCTTCTGTCTGTTTTCTCTCTTAATCCATTCTTTCTTTCCATAACTGGCCCGACAGCAATAGAGAGCAAAGGCGTTCTTTTATAGCCGCTGAATAGAGATTTCCTTTGAGGTTATGGAGTTGATACACTCCGTAATGCCACTTTTATGCCGTGGTCACAATGGACAGTGATTTACTTTCTGCCTCGGGGGACACATCCTCTCTTCAGAAGCGTTTCCGTGTAGGTGTAGGCATTAGCTGGATATTAGAAAGGAAATCCTTTTATCTGCCAGTATCCTCAGTGGATTCGTAGCTAGATTTAAAATGCAACTCATAATGGCTGTTGTTGTAAATAAACCAAATTGAGGAGCCACAAGTCCAGCTGGTGAGGATGGTGGCATGTCAGTCTGAATACATTTATTCAGTCTTTATTATTCCGTTCTCGGGCTCCTTAATTAATCTTATGTTTTCCTGCATCACATTTATCTATAAACAGTGGGTGATTTAAGCATTTCCTTCTTTTTTAAATGTAATTTCTTGAAATAGTTTACCTGTCTACATTATGTAAAGCTGTGTAAATTATTTGAAATGTTCTTTTTTTTCAGATTGAAGCAGCATGAATTGGGTGAAATTGTTTGAATTTTATGTAAAGGTTTCCTGAAACCACACAGGGTCAGAAATATACATATAGTCTCAATAATATGCATACACCCTCAGGAATATTTCCCTAAATATCCACAGCAAGTTGGAGAGACACAAGTTTCAGATATCAACAAGCTTTTGGTATCATTTTGGTTGGATATTTGTCGACCAGATATGGTAGAGTGTATTTTAATTTGCTTGCTGATTAAAATATCCAACCAAAGGGTTGGATATTTTAATATCCAACCCTTTGGTTGGATATTAAACTACTTTTATTTGTATCTACTACAAATAAAAGTAGCATCTCTACTACTTTTATTTGTAGTAGAGATGCACCAATCCACTTTTTTCACTTCCGATACCGATATCTGAGGTTTAGTACCAGCCGATACTGATCCAATACAGAAAAACAGTGCTGAATTGACTTAAAAC